GCTGTAACTTTGAGTGCTGCCTGCACAAATTGCCAGCAGAGGAGCATCGGAGTAGCATCCAAGTAGCCTTAATTAAAGTGTGCGTTTTAAATGTCGGACATTTGGCAATTTATTGTGTTTTTTATGCATCATTTGGCAGCTCTCTTTGGGGGCATGCAGCGCTCTCTAATTTGCATTGTCTTTGGCTGCTTCTGCTGCTCCTTCTGGGTCCTGCTCTTTGCACTCGAATGATCCATTTCAAGTTGTGTGATTTCTCAGTCTCTATTTTTATTGAGGGATAACAACATTTGTGGATCGTTTTATGGTTTCGATTGCTGTAAGGAGCATTATTCAATTAACCAATTGGCCGGCCAATTAGCCAACTAGCAGCTGGTGGTAGCAGCCACCAAACAGCAGGAGTTGCCATTCCCATTCCTTGAATTACTTTAAGTTTGATTTGCCTTCCGTTTTAGATACTTCCCTCTGAGGTCCAATGCACTGTCAGGCCTCGTACTTGTACTTTGATTTCTATTGATTTCTACTTTGGGTTTTGCCATTGATTTATTGTGTGTGTAAAGTGTCATGCTGGTCGGACAACAGCCACCGCTGTGCAACTGCAACTTTAGCTCTGAGACTTTGACATGTCACACAATGTGCCACAGAGACAGACAGACACACACAAGACACGCCGACAGTCGCAGACTTTGAAATGTCATTTATGATGAATATTAACCATAAATGCTAGCTAATCAGAATTTAACACTCAAAACCCAGCGACAGATTTCGATTTCCCAACACAGGCTGAATCTCTGTCTGAATCTGAATCTTTTTTGGCTTTTGTTTGTTTGCTGTCTGGCGATGTTAATCTTTGTGCGCTTTTCCAGTGGGCTTTTCCGATGCGGGTGTGTGTTTTCCAACACACCAAAAGACAAATAAAAAAAAGACTATTTGCTTTGTAGACTTGTGAATGATTTCCCACGATTTGCAAAAGCTCTTTGGGGGGAAAATGTGACTCATTTTTCAGCCAAAACAATAACTTGTAAGCCCACCAATTGGATTGTAGCCCAAAGGGGGGTTGCAGTGCAGGGGGGTAGATATTTCTAGAGCCCCGAAAAAAAAAACAGATTTTGTTGTTTAACAAAAGCTTAAGTTTTAAACCACAGAAATCAATAAAAGACGAGGCTGCTCTTCGCGGGCCATACAAAGGGAGCAACAGACAGCAGCCAAGAGGCAACCACAGTCAGAGACGAAAATGTTGCAAAGGCGTGGGGGTGCAACCAGCGAGGGGAGAGGGGTGTGTGCAACATGGTAGGACAGCAGGGAAGGGAGTGTTGTGACCAGGCTCCATCCACAATTGAGCAATTGAATTCGCACGCTTGCGCGCCTTCTTTTTTTTCACTTACTCTTTGCACAGAGGGTATACGGGTTGTGGGGGGAGGTTTTTACAAGCTGAAAGTAGCGAAGTAAGTGTGGAGCATGGGATATAATTGATTAGGATTAACTAGCTAGTGGATAAAGTCATCTTATGGGTAGATTTCTATACCCTAAAGAGGAGCAAAAAGTTGTTTAAGTGAAACTTGTTGATGCATTAACCAACCAAAAGGAAGCCTTTGGATGTATTCTCATTGCTTAAACATATCCTAAATATTTTTTCTATATTTTTTATATCAAAAATTCACCCAAAAGAGTATTAAACATTTCGGCAACCAAAGCTCTTGCATCTTTTGGCTGCTTTTTGTTGCACTTATTGCTGTCATTATTGCTGCTGTTGCTGCTCCAGCGGATGTCGCAGATGCATCTCGGAAGTTTGTCCTCTGTTGACTGTTTGCTGTTGAGTAAAAAGCACAAACAGGCAACAGGCAACACAAAAAAAGAAGTGCCAGGCGAAAGATATTACAAAAATCAATTACCAACACCTCAAAATGTTGTTGCCACAGGAGACAAAAGCAGCAGCAGCAGCAGCAGCATTAACAACGAGCGACAAAGCAGCAACCAAGCCTGTGGCAGGAATACCCTTCGAAGTGGAAACACTTTCTGGAGGTTGCCTGGCTGCAACCTTTGATATACTTTGGGCTTTAGATTGATTCAAAGTATGCCAGGGAACGGCTAGGCTCAGACAAACTGTTGGCCAAAATGTGCGTGGTTGTTGGTAATAGACGACACAATCATAAAAATGAAATATATCTGAGAATCTGCCATGGGGCGAGGGCGAGACGAAGGCGCGACTTGCGCAACGACTGCCTCATCAGCAGCAGCAGCAGCAGCACAAGAAGAGGCAGCAGCAGCAGCAGCAGGAGTGGAGTCTGTGGCTGTGTCTGTGACTGTGTCTGCCCCCGCCACGTTGTCGCTTCGATGCATCGATAGCCAAAAATGGTAAATGGGGATAAGCAGCAGAGGCAGAGGCAGAGCCTCCGAGAGAGTCAGAGCCACAGCCACGCGTGGGCTGTCAACTTGGTTTCTGGCTAAAACGATGCTGCTGCCTTGCCCCCTCTGCCTGCCACATGTGTGTGTTGCATAAGCCACGCTTGGGGGGGTGTACACTGTACCACAGAGATGGCAGGAAAACAGTCGAAGTCGCAGGCTCTGACTCTGACTCCCGCTGCCTTGCCAAATATTTAAATTATTTCATCGCATAACCGAAATGGCCAAAAGGCATGAACAGAGGCAATATATCTGCGTTATATCTACGATCCCCCCACCACGCCAAACCGATCCCGTTCCGAATCGATCCTTTGGCATGGCCTCATATTTCATGCCTCCCCTCCGTCCGGGGGCTTCCAGTTCGTTTAACAATTATTATTGGTGATTAACACGGCATGTACAAAGCCCCCAGAGGGGGTTGGCAGGTGGAGCATACAGACAACCTTCGACACCTGCAGCAGCAGCAAGCACACACGAGCAAGAGGCAGTGGCAGCAGCAGCAGCAACGGCAATGGCAGCAGCAGTGGCGGCATGTGGAGCACACAGCAGCACCTCGACTCACGTTTGTCTTTTTAATTAAAATATTAAACGGAAAATGTAACCAAGAAAATGGCAATGGAAAATAAAATTTGCAGCACTCAATAGAGTATTGATAGAGGGGGGGAATAGTGTGAATAGAGAGGGGAGAAGCAATGGAAAATTAGTCAATTTCCTTTGTATTTGCTTGGGCCCCGCGTGATGTCATTTTCCATGCTGCCGGAGATCAGGTTTCCAAGTCAAACATAACTCTTTCGCTCTCAGTGTATCTATCGTAGCTATCGACACCTGTAAGAGAGCTTTTTGGCATATCCGATGTTCGATTAACGATTCGTCGACAACTCGACAACAAATTGAAGATGTCGTCGCAGCGAGTCGCGCTGTCTGCCGTCTTCGGTCTTCGGTCTTCGGCTATGACATGAATAATGCAGTGACTGAATGAATACCAAATATATCTACCGTTTCTACCGCGACCAGATCGTGCCAGATATGCGTGGCACTAACCTCTCACGCGTCACAGCATTATCTTAAATTCAATCATAATTTCACCCCGAAAAAACAACACGACAAACACTTGACAAACGCTTTTGATAAACGCTTTAACATGCATATTTTAAGGCAGCGTAGAAGATGCTTTCGAGAGCGATTAGGGCCCACGCAGAAAGCCGAAAGAGTGAAGAAGATTTCGATGTAAGAATTATGCAAATTAGAAGAGGAATGAAGCGAGCCACGCGAGCTAAAACTGTGGTCAAGACTCTGACTAAAACTGAGACTCTTTGACTCTGGTTGAATCAACTTCTTGCCACAGCAGCCACGACCCCGTCGTTGCTGGTTCTTTTCTGTGTTTTTCCTTTGTTATTCTCTTTTTTTTCTGGGGGTTTCAAATCAATAAAAATTATGTTAATTAAATGCCATTTCATTGATGGAACATAAAAATCCACACGCCATGCCAGCTGCCAGCTGCCAGCAGAGTGAAACTCTGGCTTGAACTGCGAGTTTGGGGCTTTGGGTTTTTGAGTTCATTCACAAAAATACACGCCCTAGAGGCGCAAAGAAAGAGCTAGCACTGTGTAGAGGCTCTGGGGGCTCTGCCAAAACACGATCGTTAACAAAATTCTTACGCAGAAAACAACGTGCTGGTTCATGTCCGACCAGGTCGCTGCCTGTGCCTGTGCCTCTCCAGCTGTGCGCTTGAACTTGGCCAACTTTTGGCGGCGGCGTGAATCACCTTTCTGACTTCACCTATCTTTTCAGGCAGGAGGCAAACAGGCAGGCAGGCAGGCAGGCAGGCATCAGGGGCAGCATGAGGCATGCACAACAACAAAAAGTGTGCCAAGTGGTCAGAGGCAGCAGCAGCCGCAGCCGCAGCCGCAGCATTCAACGGAAGTTTATTTGCCCGCATTTTTGGCATCGTCAAGGTCCAGGCCTTTTGCACTTTTGTGGCCACAGAAAGAGAGAGATAGATGGAGAGGGAGGGATGGAGATGGAGCTGGCTGGAGCGACTCAATCAATCAATCAATAATGAGGTTTCTCAATTCAGGCAGCCACAAAGCCAGGGATCAGACTTTTTGCTTTCGGTTTTTCTGCCATCAATTGCAGTGCCACATCGACTCTATTGGTTGGATGATAGTGAAAAATATACTTGTATGAGTATTCCCCCCCGTGATTTATGTTCTGTGATCTCTGCAGGTTGCGGCTCATAAATCATCCATTCAAGAACTGGTAGCCAATTGGGGTGACTAGAACGAGGTGCCTCGTTTTGTGGCATTTGTGGCGTAGAGATCTGAGAAGAGCAGCTACAGATGGCTAAGAGATTTAGGGATATTTTATGTTAAATATTCTCAAAACGATTCCAAGTGTTGCCAAAAAGATTTTACCGAATGGAACGAATGATATTTGTAAGCCCAAAAATATCGATAAAGGGAAATTTATGGATTTATTCTAGAATTATTAACAATTTTGACAGACAATAAATAACTATGCAAAATGGATCCAGTTAATGAATTTTATGCATTTTTGGAATGTAAATTGTTTCTAAATTATTTACACATTCTTCTTTGCAGATTAATTTCATCGGGAAAATCCAGCCAGCAAAGTGGAAACCCAAGTTAAATGAATGGATTTTGGTGCTACAGAATTAAGGTAAGATATGGAAATGATATACATTTCGCATATAAAGTTACCCAGAATACTCACAACATCTGGAATAGCATTGGAATAAGGTTTCTGCATAAATGTCTTACTTTTTCTTAAGAAACTTCCAACCTAAATCCTTTTGCAGAATCATTTAAATGCTAATTTTTGCTTGAATGTTTCTTTCTTTGATCAGTTCCCCTCTCCGCCATGCCTGCTCTAGTTTCCCCAAAGCAACACTTGTTTCGCTTATCTCTAGATATGTATCTCCTTAGCAGCAATAGATAACCGCCTCCTCCTTGCCACCTGAACATGGCTCTCAAATGAAACAAAAGCGCGTCAAGGCAAACACTTGCCACACATATTCCACTCTCCTGTTGCCGCTACAACTGGGACCGCAGTCTCCTCCTGCCTCCTGCCTCCTCCCATGTGCCGTTGTGCTGTTGTGTTGCCCCCTCTTTAATGTGTCACCTTCGCTGCTGAATTGTGTCTCTGCGGCGGAGAGACTTCGACTGGTGGACTCGGACGTGCACTAGTTTTCGCCTCGGTGTTTTATTTTTTTGTATTTTTATCTCTTTGTGTCAGCGACAACACACAAAACGGCCGCCGACCGCCGACTGCCATTCGAGGCGGCTCCTGGTAGTCCAGTAGTCCAAGTCCAGCACACACTCGCATGGGCTGTGCCCCGTGCTCCCCACTGCAGTCTCTGGGTGCTTCGGTGGCTGGGTGCCTGGCTGGCTTGGTGTTGATCAAACGTAAATGTCAGGCCAACTGACAGTTTGACAAATATTGACGACGCTTCGCGCAAAGCGAGGCTCACGACTGGTGCTCCAGTCCAATGGTTGCTCCACTTGTGGCTCCCATGCTGAGTCCAGGAGAAGGTGCAACAGGAGGCGATATCTCCTCTGGGTAGGGTATCTCTGCAGTGCCCCCCATAGGGTAATTAGTAGCTCCTCCGAAACTTTTGGTCGCCACTTTAGCCGCAGTTTGTCGGGGTGTTTTGGCCACTACTTTTGCTTGCCACTTGCCACATAGATATAGTCTTTGATCTGCCACCGATAGCCGACAGGCGGGAACAGTGTTTGGAAAAGTATTTTTCGCCTACTTGGAGGTGTCTTAGCCTCACTTTGGAGAGGTTTTCCTGCTTCTTGGCCCTCTTCAATGCTGTGGAAATACCTTTCTCTTGGGGCATTTTCCAGCAGAAATCGATTTTCCATGCCTTAACCCAACTCCTCATAGATTTTCCACAACCTCTTGATACTTTTCGCCTGCTTTTCCTTGAGTTTTTTACCACTGTGCCACCTGGTTTCTGACTGCTGCCTTCTGCCGCTTGCTGCCTGCTACCTTTTGGATTTATTTTGGATCTGTATCTGTGAGATACTTTCGTATACAAAACATGCTTTTAGCAGCATTATAAACATTTTGTTTCCACCAACATTTTTGCTACTATTTGTCATCCTCATCCTCCCCAAGCCGCTGCCAGCATTCCGCGAATCCAAAGTCATTTTTTGAGGCATATTCGGGGGGCAATCTTTAATTGCTTTTGATAAATCGCCGCTTAATCCGCTTAAGTATTTTGTTATGGAATGGAGTGGAGATTTGCATTTCGTTTTTGTTGTTTATTTTTGACTAATTTTTCAGTGCACTAATTAAACAAAGGACACGTCATGCAACACGCTCAAGACCTCTTATAAATTTGAGACTTTGTCAGCATTTTGGAGGGGAAAGAGGGTATCTGAGGTTTTGTGGCTAATTAGCGTGGGCTATGGACCATGCCACAAGCCATCCATCATGCCACAATGCCAGACATCATCACCACATCACAACAAATCTTTCCATTTTCAATTGAAAACCGAAATTTAAATTGAAATCGAAAACGAAAACGAATCGAATGATGGGTTGGTTTATTGAGTTTATTGGGCAATGTCCATTAAATTATTAGCTTGGCCAACAGCCACGGCAGTGCCCCCCCCGTGTGTGTGGCACGTAGTTAACTCATTAAACGAATCGAAAAATCAAAGGCCGAAATCGAATTTGGTGCCGGAGTGGAGCCTCCTTAGCCTCTCCAATTATAAAGCAATTGAATTAGTTTATGCCCCTCATTTGGGGTCTGGTGTTGGCGAGCTTTTGATCTCTATCTCGATGATGGCCAATCAATCCATCATCAATCAGCCGCCAATCTATTGATTATGTAATAGAAACAACAGGCTTTTCTCCTGCCTTCCCTCCAGCCTCTCCTTTCCTGCAGGGTCTTACAGCTCGTGAGTTTCTTGGTCTAATTGAAGTCCGAAATCCAAAGAGCGAGGCGGCGTGATGTGCAAATTTATAGCAGATTCCAGTGGGTTTTTTGCTGTGTTTCCTATAAAGTGGGTTACTGGTTTAGTGGGGCACACACTCAGCGATTTGCTTACGAAATCTGATTGAATGCCGCAGGGCAGGGCCTTGATCGCAGGAGGCATCTACGCGCCACAAATGAGTCTTCAAATCAGACATGTGGTCTCTCCCTCTACTTGGATTTCCCCAATTTTCATGGTTTTCTCCCGCTCTTCATGGTTGTTTCTCGCTCTTCAAGGAGTGTGTCTCCGCCTCGTGGATTGCTCTTCATGGATTGTAAAACCAAAAAGTTGGTTGTACCCCTAAATGAGGCTAGTATTGCGTGTCATGATCGTATAAAAAAAGTCTTTAACCCGTGGCACGCGCCTCATAAAAAAACATAAACTTCAGTGTCGACAAAATGCGGCATAATCAAGAGTCCAGAGTGAGGGTTCCCTTTTTGTGTTTTTGACCAGCCAAAAAGTCAGGAAAAAGTCAGGCAAAAGTCGATGATAAAAAGCAACCCCACAGAGGTCGCTGGACGGACACACACATATTTTGTGGCACAATTTTAACACCTTTTAGGCCCAGAACCGTTTGGGTTCTTCAGCAAATTTATGGGTAACACACCGTGTACCTTGAAGAGAGGTCAAGAGGTTAGTTTCGGGGATGAAATGTATGCATTTTTATGTATTTTGACTCATCAGAAAATGAAAAAAAGGACTCCATGGATGATGGACGAAAATCGTGGCAGGACACGCGACCTCGAGCGCATAATTTAGCCCCAGAGTCCCGAGGGTTGCCACAGAGGCACACAGGAACAGGGACATGCGTGTGACATATGGTTAATGAAAACGTTAACTGATGATAAACGCGGCTAAAAGAGAGTGGGAGGGGGAGTTAGTTCTGTTCCTCTTTCTGACATTATCATTAATTAGCGATGGAAATGGAAATGGAAATGGAAATGGTATGGGTAGGGGAACGGTAATGGGGCGGATGGATGGACAGGCGATAGGCGGAGTGTGATAAATGTTGGCCCGCTCTTGAATTTAGCAACATTTAGCATGCAACAGACAGACTGTGACTCTGACTACAGTTGCAAGTTGCAAGTTGCAACTGCCACGACCAACGCATCTTCCATGAGTGAGTCAGTCCGTGGGTTTTGTTTCGTTTTGTTTTTTTTATGGGTTTTCTTTAATGTTTTTTATGCTGCCTGCCCGCCCATGTGCTGCGATCCGCGTTTGCGCGGTATCCAAAGAGAGATGAGGGGCAACATGGGATATCGGAGACTTTGTTGCAACGTTTGTGACAGGCCACAAGGAAGGAAGTTTTTCGATATTTGTGGGAATGTAATTTCAGATTTTCGGCATTTTTTTGGGTATTTCCTGGTATAAATTATAGCAACAGATCGATTTTTTCTGTACAGATTTTCCTAGTATTTTCACATAAAAGTATGAATATTGACCTCCTATCGATCTCTTAGCTCTTTATGTAATGTATGACGCATTTTCAAGTCATAGTTCTTGAACGATATTTATTAAAGTTGTGCCGTTAACTGTTTAAAGATTCATTCTTGCAAGATTGCAGGTCTTCTGCTCCACGGATACCATATTTAAATGTTCTTAGTGTTAAGTTTACACTTTTCCTAAGAATATTTTGCTATTAAATCTTTTGCATGTTCCAAATGATCAGTCATTCCTCTGAGCAAATAGTTAGGGCATTCCCTCCATCGGTTTGCCTTAGCTTTCGTGTTTTCTGTGTGTTGTGTGTTGTGTCTCTTCCATGTAATTGGTCTTTGTTTGCCATTTGATGTCATGTTCTTGGGTTCTCGCTGTTGCGTCCCGTGTAGGTTGCAATGATTGTGCAACACGCAATTGCCAGTCGCCTCCTCTGGCTCTTGTGCCTCCTCGGGCTCTGTAGAGCTTCTTTTCATTTGCGACAGATTTGCCGCTTTGCCAGCCATTTGCATGGAAATGTGTTTTTTGGCCAAATTACGCGTGCTCTTGGGCCTTGTTTATGGGCCATTCCGTAGCTGCTGCCAACCCACGAATGGTGTCTGGGTGTTTGCGTTTATTTGAGCTATATTTGCGGTAAATTATGGCGGCTCCTTTTGCTGCCACACGCCGCACTGGAACGCAGCGGATGTAAGCAATTGAACGTGGAGATTGTCACTCGTTTGTGCCACAGCCAAAGATATAGATGAAGGTTATTTCTGCATGTATCTGTGGGATCCCCCACAATGAATCGACAGAGTAAAAGGGCAGAAACTGTTCCATCATACGGTAGCCATCAACTTTAATTGAGATTGATTGTGGGGCAACTTCCGTTTCACGGAAACGCATTGCATGTTGCACATTCCCCAGAACTCTGCGATAGTGGGATGCTGATAAGGTGGATACGCAGAGACCCCTTCCTAAAGGATGCAACAGCAGCTACAGCAACAGTTGGTGTGTGGGCACCATGACATCTCCTTCGATCTCTGGGGTCGAAAAAGATTTATGAGCTCTTCTGCTGCCCCCTGCCCTTGCTGTCTGCTCTCTGCCACTTGTGCTCATCTCTCACACATTTGCAGTTGCATTGATTTTTGTCACTTGGGGGCATGCCGATTGGCATCGCATCGTCGCGTGCCCCAACAATTAATCAAGAGGCAGGGCCCTGCACAGACTGTTGGCTGCTGGCTGGTGGCTGTGGCATGT